GTCCCGTCAGCCGTCTCCGTTTGGGCCCCGCCCGCCAAACCCGCCAGCTCCGGGTCAGCGCTCTCTGCACCGAGCAGCAACCCGGCGGCTCAGCGCGGGCGAAATCTACGATTTTCAAAACTGAGCGCTCAGCCAATTCTCGGCAAGTTTGTGTGGGCGGTTGCAAACCTCGAAGCCTATCAGGTGGCGGGAAAGACTATGGTGGACCTTCATTGGCTGCTCACATCATCAATTTGCGGGACTAAGGGCGGGAAAAGGAAGCGCAGACGTTTTAACCCTCCTCGGCTTCCGGAGCGGGAAGAAGTCCCCGGCCGGGCAGGCGCGTGATGCCGGAACTACACGTCCCGGCGTGCACTGCGCGAGAGGGCGAAGCTGGGTCCCAGGCGACGGCTTTGCAATCTCTTCCTCTTTGGAGAAACGCGGAGAAAATGCCTGGCGCTTGGCCAGCAGGTAGCGCTGCGCTCGGGGTTGTCCCACCGCTGCTCTGATCTGCCGCCGCCAGGGTGGACACCCTTCCTCCCCGTCCCGAGAGCCCCTTCCAGGCACATATAGGGAGAGTAATCGGCTTGTCTTAAAGCAACCTTAGCTCAGCCTAGACGCGTCGATTTAATATCACAGCGCAGAGTAGCCGCACAGGAAGTAGGAGAATTGCAGCAGGTAAACCCGATCTGGACTCCAGCAGGGTGGGTTGCTGACCACTGCTCAAAACTGTACTCGGGCTGGCTTTTAACTCACTATGTAGCCAGCTGCCTTGAACTCGTGCAACCCTCCTGCCTCAGCCTCCCTCTAGTGCTGGGATCACAGGCATGTACTGCCACGTTGGTTTAAATACATGTTTTAATGTACAAAACCTTGGACATGGATCTTAGTGTTCTGAATGACCTTCTATGAAAATACCCATCCATGTTTATATTAATGATACACTATCCATTTATATTATTTCTAGAAAAAGACAGGATTCAGTAAATTCATTCTCATTTTTCTTTGGTTTTTGTTCTCCACCTCAGAACTGTGCTTCTGAGGACCCTTGTTTTTAATGTATGCAAACGCTGAGATAAATTGTTTATGTAAATTAGTGATTAGGTAGTCCTGGTGGCACATGGCTGTGATCCAGCACTCAGGAGGCCAAGGCCGGAGGATCACTGTGAGTTCGGAGGCCAGCCTGGGCTACATAGGGAGAACCTGTCTAAAAAAAAGCCTAAGTAAAGAAACAAATAAGTAGAAATGCAGATTTGGGGATGGAATGATCCCTCTACCTTTTAAACTCCTCTGAGGAGCCAAAAATGTCATGGTGATAGATGAACCAAAGTTGTCTTTCATAACCAACCAGCGGATGGTGCCACCAGAAAGCTGGTTCCAGAACAGGCCCGCTCGCACCTTCATGCCCTTGAAGAAATTCAGTCAGGATACGTGAGGCCATGGTGGTGAGGATAGCTCTGCTTCTCCAGCACCTGATATGTGTCAGACCCAGGACTTCTGCGTGGATTGTGATGCTTATCACATTTTTCTTACCAGTTATTTTGGAATTGCCAAATGTCTTCTTGTTCTTTGCAAATTGTCAATGGGTTCCCTTTGGGGCTTTAATTCTGGAAGAAATGGAGGACAGAAGTTTACAGAAAAGCTCTAATCTGAAGGCGGTCCCGGCCCCAGGCCAGACCTTTTCCTTAAATCCTTGGGTTGGGAGGCAGCCAGGGATGCCTTGTGCCTCACCCTGGACCGTGGTGCCAAGAGCTGATAGATGATCACTCGTGGCGTCTACACGGAGGTCTTGGTTTTGTTATTAACTGTCCCTGGCAAAGTGTATTATTTTGAACCTCCTCCATCCCTAGGCCCACCCACACCTAAGTACCCGCCTCCCAAGAGCCCTCAGTTCTGTGGTCCTTGGGAAACCGTGGGGGCACCTCGGCCTCGTTGCTCAGGCACGGACCAGCAGTGTGAAAGCCTGGTAACTTTCCGGAGAATCCAGGAACCACTGACGTGTTTTCGTGGATATCTGCAGTCAGCCTGCCACAAACTGTCATCTCTGGGAGCTAATTGAGAGCTGAAACCTGTAAATGAGAATCACAGCTCCCAGGGTGTCTAACGTGTCTTCCCTGTCCCCATCTTCCTTCTGTTTTGTTTTGTTTTTGTTTTTCTGGGGTTTTTTGTTTTGTTTTATTTTTGTTTTCAGACAGCATCTTGCTGCATAGCCCATGCTGGCCTCCAACTGCAGCGATCCTCCTGCCTCAGCCTCACAAGTGCTGGGATTACAGGTGGGCGCCCCCAAGCCTGGCTGCCTCCCCTTCCTTTATCAGGCCTGACTTTGCCCTCATTATTTGACTTAGTCTAACAGCTGATTCCCTCATATGTGAATCATTTGTGAGCAAAATAATAAAAGTATATTTGAAATGTTCTTTGGAAAAAACAGAATTGGAGGCAAACTGAGTACTGAAAGGATGCTACTCCTCAGCTGTCCACTTCCGTAGTGCAGGTCAAGAGTTCAAATCATCTCGGGCTGTCGCCCGCTGGTGGTCCAGCGTGGCAGTGCACCACAGGGCTTCTGGGAGTAGGAGGAAGGAGCTGGGCTGTGGGAGGTCAGAGGGGGAAAGCGGCTCCCTAAAACGTAGTCCCTCGTGCTGGGCAGCGCCCTCCAGGTCCCCACTCAAGCGAGGCTCCGGATCTGTTCAGTATCGGAGGCTGGGCCTTCTCACCAGGACACATCCCAGCCCTTTATGTTTACTTTCCGTCTTGAGTCACTTTCTCCTCCCTGACACAATCCCTGCAGCATGGAGGAGGAGTTTATCTTGTTAGCTGGCTCCAAGGCAGGACAACAGGGCCCAGGGCGGGAGAAGAGGTGCCCCTGAGGCTGCAGGAAGCAGAGGCAGGAGAGGCACTCAGGCCACGCCCCCAGCGACCTTCCCACCAGACCCTCCTGATCCGCTGACCTTTCCAAAACCCCGCTATGAGCCAGTGATGTTGGGGGACATCCAGGGATAAACCATACTAAATTCCTAAATTGCCCAGGCTGGAAAATTTGTAGTCCTCCTGCCCCAGCCTCCCCAGAAGCTGGGATTATAACAGAGCAGCACGATACCTGGCTGTAATGACTTCTCCAGGTCCTGCCTGGCAGGGCGGCACATGCACATAATCCCAGCACTTGAAGAGCCAAGGCAGGAGGCTTCCCACAAGTTCAAGGCCAGTCTGAACTACACATTTAGGCCTCAAAAAAACAAAAAAAAGTCCCACCAGGTGTCAAGACGAAATCTCTCAGGCTCCAGAAAATCAAATTTCAATTTCTGAATTCGAGTGAGCCCTGTGCCGCTGGCCCACTAGAGGGCAGCAGCTCCCTGCACTAGGCCAGGCGCCCTTTGGGCAAAGCGAGGGCAAGGTGTCCCTGGCTTCACCACATGCCTGTGGACCGAGGAAAGTGAGTTCCTGCTGCCTGCCTAGCCTGAGTTCCGTGGCGTGGCCCTCTACCCGCGTGGGGCTTGGGTCGCGGGCGTCTCAGGCCAGAGGGGTCTCAGTGGGCGCTTCCCGGGGTGGCCTTGGCCCAACTACCAGTCGGATGACTCCACGCAGGGCAGGTGAGTTTGAGGCAGGCTGGAAAACATACAGGAAGGAGACGAGGAAGTCAGGATTTTAAAGTCATTTTTCAAGCAGACTTCAGCTTCGGGGCCCAGTCAAAGTTGCCCAAGGTTGCAGTGCCTTCCTTCTGGGGCTGCAGACTTGCATGCTCGGCCCCTGACCCCGAGCACGACGCAGGGTTCACACTAAGGTAACCACCGCCCGGCTCACCTGACCTCAGGGGCACCTCAGTCCCGGCCGCCCGGCCTCGCCTGTAGAGTCAGGAACCTCTCCACAGGGAGGCCCCGCTCCTGTCCTCCACCCCTCCAGTGACCATTCCACCAGCACGACACTGTGCTGGGAGGCTGACTTTGAAAACGTGGAGCTTGATAATATGAATGAGGTTGAATTAAATCTCAGGAAACCCATTTGCTTGAATTAAATCTCGAGCAACCTACTTTCTGGGCCCCCTTCTGTCTCTCTTAGAAGCTGTCTTTCAATAAATTTTTCCTAAATGGAAAAAAAGTCTTTGTAAATAGGGCAGGGTGAAGGGGGTGAAGAGAGGCCAGGGGAACGGGGAAAAAATTACCAAGATGCATCACGTAAAGGTGCACGATCCCAATGATGAACGTAACTGAATCGTGTGCCTACAATGTACCAATAAACAAACAAAAAAAGGGCTGTGGATGTAGCTCAGTGCTGCTGGGTTCTTACTCAGTGTTAGCAAGAGAGGGAGGGAGGGAGACAGAGACGGAGGCATCTTCTGCCCATGGCTGGCTCCCTTCAGGAGACTGAAGCACAAGTTTTAAACTTTTAGGCCTTCAGGACTTAAGAATTCTCACAGGCCTTTTTTCGTTCCTGTTTACCCATGTGATAGCCAACCTAGCTGCATTTTGTGCCTCGCCACAGTTCCCCCTAGTCTATGTAAAACTGAGTGATTCCAGGTAATCGCCTCTCCCTGCCCCCTTGGGAGTCCCCTTGGTTGATGCCCAGGCACCCCATTTCGTAGAGCAGTCTACATCTGTGTTACCTTTATGACCTTGTTAACAGAATACTCCGCACCTGTGTGATATTCTGTTTCAACGAAACTGTGTGAAGCCTCCCCTGACCCCCAATAACAGCAAAGTTCTGCTCCTGTGAAATTACACTCGGCTCCCCGCTCTCTCTAAGCCCTTCCCAACTAGAAGAACCGCTTAAAAGAAACCCACAAGCCACTGAGAGTTGAGAGGTTTCGAGCACTAGCCACTCTTGACTGCCAGCAATACAGGACTCGATTTGGCTTAGAGTGTTGGCAATTATGAGCTCTCACGATTGAGCATAACATCTACAGACGGGCAGATCCACCACACCCAATGAGTGATATTTATACAATCACGATGTAAGCCACCACAAAATGTATACGTATACCCTGTTCTCTTCAGTATCCACAGTATCTGTTCTGTTATGTCCTCTCTGTGAGCCTTGAAAATGTATCCCATTAGCCTCAAAGTTCACAGAGTACTTTTTTCCTTCCCACCATGTCTGTCTAGCTTGACATAGCCTCTCTGTTGGCCTGGAAGATGCATCTGGTTAGACTCAACATGCGCAGTATGCATCTTGCTGTGTTATGCTGTGTGAATCTCGTGTTCCTCGGAAACTTCCACACTCAAGACAGTAAGTTATCGACCACCCCAAGCCCACCCCAACGAAACTACTGTATAAACTCCCCATCTGTACATTTCAGGCCCAGGTCTTTACGGAGTACCTAGCCCCACTGTCTAGCACCCAGCCAAAGCCTGGCTTTGCTCCATCTCTTTTGAGAGGGTCTGTCTTTCCCGGTCCAGATTTCCTGCAAGACCACGGAGGATCAGGACATCTCTGTCAGGCCTGATCTACGCGAGTCCTTCACAAACAAACGGACAAAGCAATAAGCAAACAGGCTGCTTTCAGCAAACAGCGGCAGCTGCCCGGCAAACAGAACAAATGGACTCAAAGCGAAGTATAAACCCCCGGCTGCGGAGAAGTCCAGTGATTGTCTACCCAGAGGAGCAGACCGCCCTTGGATTCAATCATAAATATCTCACAATGGGTCTACATAAGCCCCATTCCTTTCCCAGGTAACAGAGATAAAACCCCTCCTAGCCAGCTGCTGCTTTTTCTCTCTCCCAATGCCAGCCCCTCCACACACGGATTTGATAAGCTCAGCTTTCCCAGCTGCTAGAATCTCCCGATTTTAGTCCCTTTTCACTGGAATAAACTTTTCTTTCAGAAGCCCATTCTAATGAGAGGACTCAGGTGCGCCTTCTGTAAAAATCTCCACATCCACAAGCCGGGCGAGAGAACAGTGCAGGCTGGAAAGTGAGTCTTGCAGAGCAGGACTTCAAAAAACTTCCTGGGCAGGATGTGGAACTGGTTTCCAGCTGACAGAACACTCTTGAGGCCTAAAATGTACTAAAAGTGGAAAGGGGCAGATTTCCCTCTCTGAATGGAAACACTCTTGGCCAAGAGAGGCATAAATCCCGAGCCGTCCAGAAGACCTTCGTGCTCACGATCAGCAGTGCAGGGACAGGCACTGTGGGGAGGGAATACAGGATGAAGGCCTCACTGAGCTTTATCAAAAATTTATAAGGCAGTTTGGACCTCTGCAGCCCGACCCCAGCAGTCGGCATGGCAAAGGCAGCTGACTCTGAGGAATTAGACAAAGAACTCAGGTCAGCAGTCTGATTAACATGAGAATCCCGAACTTCCTTCTACTGATCCTTCAGCCTAAACTACCGGTCCATGTGGCCCCATGCATACCCAAGGGCAGGGAAAGGTCACCTAAGCAGAAGAAGTCCAAGGTCAGGATGAAAAACAAGCCCGGAGCCACTCAGGCTCCAGGAGCCTTGGCTGGACAAGGAACTCCATGTAAGGAGCTGCAGAGGACAATGCTCGTCCCTTCCGAATTCCCCACACGAGGGCGAGGCGGGGGTCCTGCTGCCTGAGACGGGCTCTGGAGAGTCAGACGGGCCGACAGCAACAAGGAACTGAGCTCCACATCGCAGATCCGTCAGCTCTGGGAGAGGCCCTAGATCTAGACTTTGACATCGCCCTAGGCTGGCGGTGTGGAACCTGTTAGAGCGTTCAGGATAACAAACAGCGGGCTGCAGCACGCAGGGGCCTCTGCTCGCACCACTGCCCTGGGCTGTCCTGATGCGTACCCTGCCCAGGAGGAACCGGGGGAAGTCAGACCTGCACCTTGTCCTGAGCACAGAAATCAGGCCGGAGGGGAGCATAAAGGCAAGCCTGTGCCGGGAACTGGAGATCTAAGTAGCACCCTGCCTGACAAGGGGAAAGGTAAATGAAGGGGCTCAGCGAGACAACACCACTTGAAATCACAGCCAAACCAGGAGAGGAAGGACTCACATGCACGTCATCGCCCTGACCAGGGATTCGCGCGTGCTGCCGTTGGCGTGGTGGCTGCAGGGTTGATGAGCTCCAAATTGGCGGCCGTAGAACAGGCACGGCGGAGCATTCAGGGCCTCCCAGCAGCCGGGAGAGGTCAGGAAACCCGTAGGGAGGCCGGGAACTCCTGCACCAGGGACACCACAGCAGCTTTCCGGTGGGCGCTGTGCGGCACGATGCCCCGGTACGGGGTGGACAGCCATGCCTGGGATGGCAAGGCCGGAAGCCCCGCTGCTCAGAGCTGTGGATCCCATCTTCCCAGCCCCTCACCCAACGAAGGTCTGCGTCTGCCCCTGCATCACGTCCACACCCGGGCTCGGGGTTGGTACCGTCTCGAGGGAGAGCCCTGACGCTGCTCTGGTCAGCATCCCTGTCCGAGGACAGGCTGCTGTAGGGCACCGTGGAGCTCCGAGGGGCCCCTCCCGGGGACAGAGCAGGCCTCGGCACAAAGAACACGGCTGGCAGCCGGGCCTGCAATTTCAGCACTCTGGAGGCTGAGGCAGGAAGATTGCTGTTAACTCCAGGACAGCCTGAGCTACACAGTGGGCTCACCGACAGGACTACGTCGGGGAGAGGGGACCCTGTCTCAAAAACAAAAAGCAAAAGAAGGGACCGTGTCTGTCCAAGATGTCCATGGTGGCAATGTTGCTGGTGACAAGAGTGGCCCAGCAGTGGAAGCTGGAGTCCCTGGAACCCGGCAGGGCAGCCACAGCGAAGGTTACTTGGGAGCTTGTGCGCCCAGGCCCCTCTGAGTCCGGCTTTGCTGGTCTGCCCTTGAGAGGGACAGGTGAGGTGGCGTGGGTGTCACCTGGACAGCCATGGCCTCCGGTCACCGGGCCTGGAATTCCCAGAAAGGGAGGAAGTGGGATAGAGGCGCAAGAAGGGCCGTCCAGGGAGAAGCTTAGGATGCTCCGGGAGGAGCGCAGGCGCCCAGAAGAGAGACGCATGCACCTGGACATTTCTACTTCTCTTGAGGGGTGAAGACCCCCCGCAAACGCGCCACCCCCAGGCTCCCAGCCCACTCATGGGCGTGGGCAGTGTTTTTGTTTTGTTTTGGGAGGGGATTTACCCATCTGGACTCCCTCAGCCTGCTGCTTCCTTTCTTGTTTTGTTTTGGGTGTTTTTGGACCTCTAGGGCAGGTCCAGGCTAGTTTGTCCAAATGATATAGGTAGGCATGGTGGCGCACGCCTGTAAAACCAGCACTAGGGAGGCTGAGGCAGGAGGATCACTGTGAGTGCGAGACCAGCCTGGGCTACACAGTGAGTTCCAGGTCAGTCTCAACTACATAGTGAGACCCTGTCTCAAAAAACAAAAAAATGAAAGGGCATGGTACTTACTGGCAAAGAAATAGACCCGAGGATCGGTGGAATGGATTAGAAGATGCAGAAACAACTCCTAACACACTTAGCCACCTCATCTTTGACAAAGGAGCTAAACACCCTCACTGGAGGAAAGACAGCCTCTTTAATAAATGGTGTTGGAAAAACTGGATTTCAATTCGTTAAAGATTAAAACAAACTAGACCTGTGTCTCTCACCATGCACTAAACTAAAATCCAAGTGGATTAAAGATCTAAATATTAAAACAGAAACACTAAACTTGCTGGAAGATAAGTTAGGTAGAACTCTGAAAGACATCGGCACAGGAAAAGTTTTCATGAACACATCCTCAGGCGCACGGGAACTAGCACAGAGAATCAACAACTGGGATCTCATCTTTTTAAAAAGTTTCTGCACTGCCAGAGAAATCACAAGGACAGCTAAGAGACAACCCACAATGTGGGAAAATTTTTTTACCAGCTGTTCTTCGGACAAGGTTCTACTATCTAGACTATATAAAGAACTAAAAAAAAATCAGACCCCCCCAAAATATAAAGACCCAATTCAAAACTTGGCATCTGAAACGAACAGACATTTCTCAGACAAAGAAGTAAAAGCAGCAAAAAAAAAAACAAGAAAAAATGTTCCACATCACTGGTCATTCGAGAGATGCAGATGAAAACAACACTGAGAGTCCACCTCACTCCACAAAGAATGGCTGCTATCAAGAAATCAACCAACAAATGTTGGCGGGGTTGTGGGGAGAAAGGAATCCTTCTCCATTGTTGGTGGGAGTGCAGACTGGTGCAACCACTGTGGAAATCAATATGGAGATACCGCAAAGAGCTGGGATTAGAGGACCCATTTGACCCAGCCATCCCTCTGCTGGGTATCTTCCCAAAAGAATTAAAAGAATCATACCACAGTGGTATATGCTCACCCATGTTTATAGTGGCACAGTTTGTAATAGCTAAAACGTTGAAGCAACCCAATTGCCCATCAAGTGGAGACTGGATAAAGAAGATGTGTTTTTTGTTGTTGTCTTTAAAAAATAAAATGGAGTACTACTCAGCCATAAAGAATGATAAACTAGAGATATTTATAGCTAAATGGATGTACATTGAGGCCATACTCTTAAATGAAATTAATAAATCACAAATGTGTAAATATCAAATAGTTTCTATAGTGTTAAAAACTAAAAGTGTAAATAAGGATCAAAATGTATAATTGATATTGTGTAATAGGAAGAAAAGGTCTAAAAGAGTAGAAGAAGTGGGAGTGGTGGGGGAAAGGGGAAAAGGGAAAAGAAAAAATAAGTGAAATGGAAACAATGTCTTTGTAAACAGGGAAAGGTGGAGGGGTGAAGGGAAGGCAGGGGTATAGGGAAAAATAAGAACCTGGTAAGTCGTGTAAAGGTTCAGGATCCCAGTGATGAATGCAACAGCACTGTACACCTAAAATGGACCAATAAACTCAATAAAGATTGAAAAACCAAAGAGCTAGCTCTCCTCGAGGCTCCCTGACGTTGCAGCTCTCAGGGATGGTGGCCCCTGCAGACTCTGCCAGGAGAGGCCGTGGGACTTTGGATAACAGCATGGAAAGAACAGGCCGGGAGGGAGGCCTGCGGAGAGCTCGTGGTCTGCAGGTAACAAGGACGGGCTGTGATTTTGCTGATGCGTAGCAGACAGGATTGTGACCAACAACATTAAATTAGGACAGGCAGAATCCTACGAGTTTCATATAATTTCTGAACACTTACATCAGTACCATGCATACAGTTACAACCTGGGGAGGTTAGACATCCCCTATTCACAGGGCTAGTCACAGTTGAAGAGTTTTAACATGCCCCACCCCTGTTGTATTGGGTTGGAACTCAACTGTATCCTGAGGCCCTCTAAAAGTTATTATTACATTGTTTGTTTGGAGACAAGGTCCTGCTACGCACTCACCATGTAGCCCAAGCTGGCTTCAAATTCAGCGGTCCACCTGTCCCCAAGTGCGGGGATCACAGGTGTGCACCACCACGCTGCTTTCTTTTGATTTTAGAGTCTTGCTTCCAGCTAAATTGATATTGCCCAGGGCTTGAATTTGAGATCCTCCTGCCTCAGGCTCCCAGAAAGGGGGGCTTACGGGCCTGTACCACCTTGCCCCCCGACATCCTCTCTACCAGGAAAGGATGGGAATTTCTTTAAGACACCTGGAGGCCCCTGCAAATCCCAGTTAGGTTCAGGCCTGAGACTGAATTTAGATCCTAATTGGGGGAAGTTTGCTAATAATACTGAGTGATATAAACCACTAAAGAGGAGCACAGCCGCCTGAGGAGGAAAAGGCTTCAAAGGCAAACACGGAAGCCTCATCACTGCGGGACTCACTGCAGCACCTTCATCAGTGAGAGAACTGTGACAGCAGGAGCTGCAGGAAGTAAACTACGTAATGAAACAGCCTTTGCTGTGGATGCAGTATCTTCCAGGCAAAGAAAGATTTTACAGCCGGATGTGGCGACTGACGCACGCCTGTAATCCCAGCACTTGGGAGGCTGAGGCAGGAGGAGCGCTGTGAGTTCGAGACCAGCCTGGGCTACATAGTGAGTTCCAGGTCAGTCTCAACTACATAGTGAGACCCTGTCTCAAAAAACAAACAGACAAACAAAAAAACAACAGAACATTCCGCCAGAGATGTAGTTCACCACTGCAGCGCCTCCTGGCAAGTGCAAGGTCCTGAGTTTGATTACTGGTACCAGAAAAAAGAATAGAAAAGAAAAAAAGTTCCTCTAAACTTTTCTCCAACTTATTGGAAGTTAACTTTAGATCCACAGTGGACATTCAAGTTACAACTGGCCTGACATAGGACAACTGGGTTAATTAGGTTAACGGAAGTCATCTGCCTCTTGTTAGCTA